CAGCCGCCTCTGCGCCTTTAAAGCGCTGCGCGCTCCCGCCGCCGCGCGCCCCCACACGTGACAGCGCGCCCCCGCCTCGCGGGCGCTCACAGAACCGAGCGGCTCCGAGGCCTCCAGGGGAACTGCATCCCTGCTCAGCTGGTCAGTGGCCTCTGACCCCGTGCAGCTTGCTCCTGCTATCAACTGCGTGCAGTACTCACCCCCTGAACAGTTCCCCCTGCCCCAACCCCTCGCCCACCAGGACCCAGTCTTCCAGGACTCTCTCTGGTGCCAACATCTGCCTCACAGGCTTCGGAAGTTTCTCCAGCCAGACCAGGTAGACAAGGGAGGGATAACCCTGTACAGTCCCTGCAGGACCTGGTGTTTCCAGGGGCCAGCTGGATGTGGGCAAGGCTTTCTCTGGAAAGAGGAGCATGGCAAATATATGGTGTGATATTCCCGGCAGGGAGCCTGGCTTAGTCTCTCTCTCTCTCTCTCTCTCTCTCTCTCTCTCTCTCTCTCTCCTTTTAAAACTGGTTTGGAAAATTAAAACCTTAGCTCTAATCCCTTGTTTGATCGACAAGCCAGATTTTGGTTGTGTAGGCCTTTGGGACTCAAAGGACAGTAAAAGATCAAGGAGAGGTTGAGGGGGACCAGCCACAGAGGCCTTAGCCTTCATTGTGATTCTGAGAAGGGAGGAAGATACTGAGGAGAGCCGTCATCAGAGGTGAGGAAGGCTGGACCCCCTGTATCCCCAGAAGCACAGTAAGAAAACCCACTCTGGAGATTCCCTTAGGGGCCTCTGTTCCCTGTCTTGCCACAGATATCAGAGCATCTGAGTCTATGGATTAGACAGCATGACACTAAAAATGAGGGGCAGGCTTATCAAGAAATGACTAAGCTGGAAGGTACCCCTAAGCATGGGAATGGGGTAGTGAGTCCAGCCACGTGGTTTGCAGAAGCAATGACATGTTGTACCCTTGAAATGAGTATGTTGACATACACCCATGCTGTTTGCTCATAGGAGTATAAAGAGTCAGTGCAAAATTTGACAGCTTCAGAGTCAAGAGCAAAGAAAGAAAACTGACTAGTTTTGAAGAGGGTTAAAAAAAAAAAGAAAGAAACAACAATTAAAAAAAAAAACCAAGACAACTGACCAGGGCTCCCCTCAAAGAAGAACCAGTATTCCACCTGGGAAGGGGACAGTAGGCAGAGACATCTGGCAAACAGATGGGTGTACATCTGTTCCTGGGTATGCCCCATCCCATCTCCAGGAGCGGGGACAACATAAAATAGACACTTGGTGAAGGAATGAGCTGCAAAGGATTGGCTGCTAGCAAAAAAGGAAAAAAAAAAAAAAAGGAGAGAAGGAAAATAAAACACCAGAGAGGGGGAGGGACACATCAGCTGGAAGTTCCTCCCTGTCAAATCCTCTGCATTGGTGGTGCAATCGCTGGACTCGCTCCCCTACTCCCACTCTGCAAGTGCCTAAGAACCCTGGCTAGCAAGCACCACAGAGAGATGAGCCGCTTCCCCTGAGTGTGGTGACTGGGGACACATTGTAGGAAGCATAACTACATCCTTACTGGGTTGGGAGGTCACATTTAAGAGCCCAAAACATAGCAGTAATGTTGTACCCTGTAAGATCAGAAACCTAGAAAATAACCACCTTTGGATGGGACAAGGGGTCAATACCTGTTTATGCCCTGTGCTTGCTCAGACACCTGGAGGATCTGCAAACACAGTCAGTCCCTTAACTGGGTTGCTCCTCGATCTGAGGTGTTAGTATCACTAAAGCCAATAAGTAGGGCAGTAAGTCCAGTTCTACCTCGTGTTTTCAATACCCAGTTATTTTCATTTGTGTGGTATAAAACGATCTGAGCGTAAAGCCTGCTGGGATATGTAGGCTCACCTCTTAATCCCTTTCTCCGAATAAAGAAATGGTAAACACACGAAACAGAAATAGGCTGTATCAGACTAGAATCCTACAGACTAGAATTGGAAACAAACCCCCACGCGCCCTACAAGCTGATATTGCTGCCGGAACCTAGGGAGAGGCAGAACAAGGTCAGATTCAAGGATGGAAGCCTAGACTTTTAACACAGTCCCTCAAAGAAGCTGGATCATGTCCCTATGAGAGGTAGGGAGCTGGAATGAAGAGTTCTTCATAAATCCACAGACTAAACCAAAGTACCCTTCCGTGTAAGAGACTAGAAAACGTCTATTGTATCCCAGGGAAAAGAGAGGAAGCATGTTTTCTGCTTGGACTCTGTAGAGGGTAATCCTGCAACTAATCATGGTGTTTCAGGCTTAGGGCAGATCCAGATGCCAGGGCCTGTGATGTTTATATTCAAGGCTTCCTCCTCTAGTGTGTGCTGGGGGTGCAAGGAAATGGGGGAGGGGACTTTACAGCTTCCCACACAGGACTCCAAAAGAAAATCGGTGAGTTCAAGTTATAAAATGAAAAGCAAGGCTGGAGAGATGGCTCAGCAGTTGAGAGTTTTTAGTGGCTGCTCTTCTAGAGAACCCACGGTCAGTTCCCAGCACTCACATGGTAGTTCACAACTGTCAGTAACTCCAGCTCCAGGGGATCTGGTGCCCTCATTTGGCCTCTTCAGGTACCAGGCTCACACGTAGTGCATAGATACACAGACAAAACCATCACACACATTAAATAATAAAAATAATACTTAAAAGTATCCACATGAATAGACAGCACGTAAGAGTCAACATTAAAACCAAGACCACAACAAAGTAATTATAAAAGATGCTGTGCTGGTTTCAAAGAAAATGGCCCTGGAGGCTCATAAGGAGTGACACTATGAGGAGATATGGCCTTGTTGGAGTCAATGTGGCCTTGACACACTTGAAGAAGTGTGTCACTGGGGGTGGAAACTCAAACCAGGCCCAGGATATCTCTCTTGCTCCTGCCTGCCGGTTTAGATGTAAAACTCTTGGTTACCTCTCCAGCACCATGTCTGTCTGCATGCTTTCATGATGACAATGAGCTAAACCCTGAACTACAAGTCAGCCCAAATGAAATGGTTTCCTTTGTAAGAGCTGCCATGGTCATGGTGTCTCTTCACAGCAATAGAAACCCTAAGAGCGAAATCCAACCGTTTAAGATTATAGCATGCTTTCTGTGAAGACTGTAGAATTAGGATGTGTAATATGCTGATATCTTCGTCGTGGTGGACAATGTCAGCATTCCCTTTGGCCTAAAACTGCTGGGATGTGTTCCTCACCCACACTGGGGTGGGAGAATTGGAGCGGCCTTCCTGGATGGGACAGTCTTCTTTGGGTCTTCTAGGGATGCAGGCTGCTTTCATTGAGCAGAGAGAAAACATACGACAAAAGCAATATCCAGGATCAAATGCTGGGAGATTTCTAATGTTGACAAGTACATCAAACCACAGGTTTCCTTGATCATAAATTTGACTCTTGCTGACTTTCTTACTGAATTTTAAAAGATTTTTCCATCTATTTCTACCTGTAAGAAAGAACGTTTTATAATTTTTACTTAAAATTTTGTTATCTAATTCTGGTCAAGAATAATGGTAGCCTCATGAAACAAATTGGGAAATATTCCCAACTCCTCCATATTCTGAAATTGATTGTAGATTGATTGAAATAGATTGGGATTTCTTCTTTTAATCTTGATAAGATTGGCCAATAGAGTTATGCACCTTGAGTTTTCTTTATGGAATTTTTGAAATTATGATTAGTGGCATGTGCTGTATTTCTATCACATATGCAATGCCACATACACAGGCCATGCCGCATGTACACTGGTCATTCACAACTTTGTGGAGTTTGTTCTCTCCTTCCACCTTTATCAGGCTGCCATCCCTAAAATGGGCTTTTACTGCCCGTACATTTTTTGTTTGTTTTATTTTGTGTTGACAATAGAGTTTAATAGCTATAGAAGGTTTTACTACATGTAATATTTTGAGAATTTCAACTGTTTCATTTACATAATCTGATATTTGCGGTCTAACATTATGATGGCCCTTCGTTGCCTCCATTCTGTCTGCAAGCCTTGAAGTGATACTGCTTTTTCATTCTTGATTCTAGTAATTTCTTTCCTCATTTTTGTTCTTAATTACACTTGCCAGGGTCTACCAGCCTACCGATCTTCCCAGATAACAGCATTTGTCCTTTGTTAATTTTCTCACCTTTTTCTTTTGTGTATTTCCTTCTTGTGCTTATCATCACCTTCATACTTACTATGGGTTTAATTTCCTTTTTTTTTTTACACAGTTCCTAATGAATACACCGAAATCACTGAGCCTAAATTTCCTTTGAAATGTGATGAGAGATGCAAATTCCTGTCTGAGCACTGCCATTTTGATGTTCTATATCCATTATCTGTAAATCAGAGCATTTTCTAATTTCCCTGTGTGTCCAAATAAGCAATTCTTTTCCATATGTATGATGCTTGTATATTTCTAACTGCAGTCTTTGAGGTCATAACACATTCTCTTTGATATTTTAACCTTTCAACTGTACTGGTTTTTTTTTAATTTGATATGTGGTAGCTGTT